TACAACATGAAAACATGCGTCCGTTCTTTACAACATGAAAACATGCGTCTGTTCTTTACAACATGAAAACATGCGTCTGTTCTTTACAACATGAAAACATACGTCTGTTCTTTACAACGTGAAAACATACGTCTGTTCTTTACAACGTGAAAACATACGTCTGTTCTTTACAACGTGAAAACATGCGTCTGTTCTTTACAACATGAAAACATACGTCTGTTCTTTACAGCATGAACACGTATGTCTGTTCTTTAACCAGTTCTTTCAGATTGTGTTGATTGACAGTGACAAATGGGTTCTCGTTCTCTCCATCTGTTCTCTGTTCTCATACACGTGGCTTCAGTCACAAACAAACACATGTGAGTGACTCCTGCTGCAAAACAGCCAACTCCCTAAATCTCACATTGAAGGCTGAGTGGCTGGGGGAGGGGTCAGGGGGAATCTAAAAGACCAGATATTCTTGGTTTGTTAGTTTCTCTGGGTCAAAGGAGTGAAATGCTCTTGCCTGCTTGTCGCAGGCTCACAGCTCCAGGAAACCTTCCTTCAGGCTGAGTGGGGAGGAACCAGAAAAGCTGCACTGGATGACTCACTGGATTTCTCAGTGAGAGGTCAAGGAGTCATCATTTTAAACAATGAGTGTTTGAATACTGAAGATATTCAGTGATTTCACAGAGAACTGTTCCAAGGTGTCCATCCGTCTGCAGCTACTGCTGCTGTGCCTCCGGATTTTAATACGTCTTCATACTTCTACGGAAAATAAATCAGGTTTTATGTTTTTATGACAGATTTTAAATGAAGATTTTACACATAAAACGTGATGTTCTCGCTCTGTCACGTTCCCTCACCTCATCTCTTCTCTGAGGTAATGGTCAACAGTTGTTTCTCCTGTTCCAACCCAGCAACATACCTGATGGAAACAAACTGCTGGTTTCCTCTGTGCTCAAAAAAGTTTGAATACATTTCAGAATCACTGTGGCACAAAGGAGACGTCAGTTTAAATAGATAACTAAGTATAAATAGATAACTAAGTATTTTAGTCTTGTGTCTCCCACAGGAAACAACGCACAGATAGACGGTGAGTTTCTTATTCACACTTTTTTTTCCACAGCCACAGAAATGAGTCAGAAGTTTTGAAGCTTGAACCTGTGACGTGATGGGACTCTGAAGGAGCAGCTCTGCCTTTCACACCGTCACACTGTTTGAACCCTGAACAGCTGCAGCTGTGATTCACTGTTAAAACAAAGCTCCTGTGGACCAAACTGGAAAATCACTGCGGGTTCATGAGATACTCAGAGTATTTCTCAACTAATGACGACATATATGTTGTGATGTGTGTCTGTTAGACTAGTAGAGGTTTTAATACATGAAATAAACTCATGACACACGTCCCTGCTCACTGTGGCATCATTATAATCAAGTTACAATAAGAAAGTATATAAAAATAATAGTGCAGTGTAATAAATGAGTTAGTATTTGATTTAATACAAGTCTGTGGCAAACAGGAAAGTATTCAACACGTCTCACAGTGTGGGTGGGAGGTAATGAAGTAAGAATACACGAAACACGTACTTAAGTTCAGTAACTAAGTAAATGTACTTCATTACCTCCCACCCACACTGCGCGGCGTGTTGATTGTTCCCATGTTCCCTGAACGCAGCTCGGGTTTAATGTGGTGTTTTGTGATTGGTCTTTAAACAGGAAGTGGGCGGAGCTCGGAGCTGCTCTGAGGTCTCGCCGGCTCGTGCGTGTTGTCGTGATCGATTCCTGAATGGAAATCAATGGATCGATCAGTCGGGCCGCGTGCGTGCTGCTGAGCGTGTGCGTGGCCCTGACGTCACAGGAGCGGCCAGATGACGCGGGAGGCTGGTGAGTTCACGGACATCTGGAGCATGAGCCGGTGTTCCGGGTTAACTGGTGATCAGGTTTATTGTAACGACACTGTGACGATCTGCAGTCTGATCCAATGGACCGACATGTAAACACATATCACGAGTTACACCGGAACACCTGAGGAGCACCTGAACCTGCCGCTGTGACGTCACAGCAGGTTCAGGTTGGACCTCCGGATCACATGACCTCCGCCATGTGACCATCATCCCTGTTTTTATTGAACTCCACCTGTTCAGGAAGTAAAACTCCCATCATTCCTCTTGACCAGCAGCCGTAATGTTTTAACCATCCATGGTGGACTCACCAAAACCACAAGTCAACTGTGTTTGAAGAATCACGTGTTTTATTTACGAGCTTGAGGAGAAGGACTACACTACCCACAATCCTCAGGTGTCACAATGAGGTCTCTGATTGTTGGAGCTCATTAAAAAAGTGACATCAGGATATAATTATATAAAGTGATATATTTAGTTTTCTCTCTGATTTAGTCTTTAACTCAATTTTGACATCATTTACCGCGAATTTCCAAAATAGCTATGGATTAATTTGTGGTTCGTCAATGATTCATCGTGGCTACATTCACACGTTAGATTCACACGTATGTATCTGTGACTGTAGACACACGTATGAGCACAGAGAACAGACGTGATGTTTGTGTTCAGGTGGGTGGATTCAGACGTCAGGTTCCAGGATGAAGGTTCCTGTAACATCGACGTGTTGGACGGAGCCTCGCTCTCATACCAACAGTTCATTGAAAGGTACGTTTCACTCATCTCGAGGCGAGATCTGTTTTAAGGTTGTGTTATAAGATGCACTTGTGTCTCCGTGGCGGTGACGTTCTCTACTGACACTGTCCGTCTGTGGTTTGTAGATACGCCTACAGTCGACCGGTCGTCCTCAGAGGTCTGACTGATAACACGGTACGAGTGGAATCATCCAAACATTTGAGAGTTAAGTGTTTTCTGTTCAGAGTCGTGAGCGTCATCGAGGAGTCTCAGCTGAACACGTCCTGAGGACACGAGTCTCGTTAGTAAAGTTTGATTTGAACAGATACAGACGATAGAAACGACCTTCAGAGGGAAACTTTGTACTTTGAGTATATTTCAGAGTGTGTACTTTAACACCAGTATCTGTATTTCTACTGGAGTGAAGAATGTGGACGCCTGTCTCCTCTGAACATGTCGATGTTTCGTCTCAGAAATTCAAGCTGCTCTGCTCCAAGTCGACTTTACTACAAGAATACGGCTCTCGGAAAGTGCGGCTCAGTACAGCTAACACTTATTCTTACAGGAAAGGTACGAACGTCTGAACACTCGCTCGCTCACGCTGTGATAATCCGACTGTAACGAACACGTGATGAATGTGTTTCAGTGGACGTCCCTTTCCAGGAGTACGTGGACAAGTTCCTGAGGCCTCAGTCCACCGACGCTCTCGGCAGCGGTGAGTTAACCTCGCTTCCTTTTGACGCGGGACTTTGACTTGTAGTTGTGTATTTGTACTTTGTTGTAGTGGTGCTTACAGTCATTGATCGTCTTTATTCAGTCTGTGAACGATCTTTAACATTTGTACCTGAGGAGGCGTCACTGTCATTAACAATCTGTTTCTCTCTTCTACAGACACCATGTATTTTTTTGGAGACAACAACTTCACCGAGTGGCAGCGTCTGTTCGATCACTACGAGTCTCCACCGTACGTCCTGCCTCACACCAGCGGAGCGTACAGCTTCGGCATCGCAGGTTTGTTCGCTTGATAACGAGGCTGTGACATGAATGGTCTCTAGAAGTTGAGGGAGCTGCAGGATGAAATCTATTTAGTAATTATCTTCAACAAAGTGAAAACCTTATTTCACATCGATCAAATGTTCTTGAGGACGAACGTATGTCAGACAAAAGTCTTCCGTCCCTAAATTACAATGTGAAACCAAAAGTGTCAGATCAAATGAAACATGAACGAACAGGAAGCTTCAGACTCGGGAGAGAAAACGTGTCTTTATGGTCAGGTCCTGGAACCGGAGTTCCTTTTCACTGGCACGGCCCCGGTTACTCTGAGGTCATCTACGGAAGAAAGGTAAAAAAACACACAACCAGATTCTTCTTCTGTTTCCTGTTGGAATAATATATGCGGTAAAGATAGCTCCTCCCCCCACAGGAAACACTTCTCCTGAATCCACTGCTCATTGGAGGATTTTAGTTTCTGGCTGAGTTTGTGAACAAGGTGTTCCTAATAAAGTGCTCAGTGACTGTGAATCTGATTCTTTTCTTAAATCTCACAGCGTTGGTTCCTCTACCCGCCTGACAAGGAGCCTCACTTCCACCCGAACCACACCACCCTGTCCTGGGTGAGGGACACCTACCCCAACCTGCCCGAGCACGAGGCTCCACTGGAGTGCACCATCAGGCCGGGAGAGGTAACGCACTCCGCCAGAGACATTCAGTTAAAGACGTTAGCCATTACTTTGAAGTGATTTTAGATCATCATGTAGACAATCACCACCCTGTGGTTGTACGACTCCACCCACCACAACACTTTCAGTCTACGTACATGTCGGAGGTCAGTCTGACCTTTGACCTCCGTTCATCTTTGAGTCCAAGTGACAACTGGTCAAAATACAGACAAACTCCCTGAGACAGACTCGAGGTCTCATGTCCACCTGAAGACATCACGGCTCTGGAAGTCTCCGATGACGAGGCTTAGACAGGTTGAGATAAACTGAATGAGTGGGAGGAGTTTGAGGGGCGGGTTCGACCCTGGTCCGGAGCAGGAAAACGAGTGTGAACAGGAAAGTGTTTTTGTCGTCACTCGTGTTCTGTGTGTTTCCTGTCAGGTGCTGTATTTCCCTGACCGCTGGTGGCACGCCACTCTCAACCTGGACACCAGCGTTTTCATCTCCACCTTCCTGGGCTGAGCGTCTCAGCTCTCCCATATTTCTTTTTTTTTTTTTAAGAATCACTTCTGTTTGAGTTTTTCCTTCAGGAAAAGAAACAGACTCAACGACACGAGGACGAATCCGACAAACTGCTTTTTCTCCTGGTTTTATTTTGGTCCGGATGATGAAGACGTTTCATTTCAGGGACTAAAGACGAACAACAGCAACATTCCAGCCACGTTTCCTCATCATGACGATTATAATAATAATGATTATGTGTATTTCATGACCAAAGCAACAGAAACAGATTGTGTCTCCTTTACAAATACTTCACACTCAACAAGTAAAAAAACAAAACAAGAACACATTTAGTTTTTCTACAACTCTGCATCAGTGTCAAGATAAAAATGCTCTTGCACAGCGAGGAGCCTGTTTCTGTCGCAGACCAAATAAAAGATCCTGAACTAAAGGAAACTTTCTCCCAGAATCTTTTTTCCATCACTGTGGCGTCACTGAGCTTCTACAATCCATCGACGGACGTTTCTTTAAAAAAGCCCAAACACTCACAGCTTCTATCTCAAACACTACGACAGGTGCAGCATACGTTGATAATCTGGTTCCTTTCTGTGACTAATCTGATTGTCGTCAGCAGTTTGATTCTCAGCTGCCGTCACGTTTCACTTCCTGCCGTCAGTGTTCCCGTTCAGATCTGCCGAAGCTCAGGCGGCGGATAAATTCAATTTGGCGGCAGGTCCGATCGTGACGACAGAAACGCTGCAGCACGGGGTTCGGACAGCGAGGCGTTCGAGTGTGATCAGAGAAAAAGCCAATTTTTCATTAAAAAAGCCAAAATGTATTTTTTCTTCTTCGTCTGAATTTTCAACAAACTTTAAATTTCTACTACTTTTCCCATTTCTTACCTGTGCTGTATTTTATTTACGTGTGTGTGTAAAAAACTTTTAACAACTCTGTATTTTCCTCCTAATTTCCCTTACGTTCCTCTTTAGTTTCCTGTTGTCATGGTAACAGTTACATGAATGAGAACAAATACGATTGTTTTTGTTATAGAATGTGTTTTTTTTATCCATTTAACGATGAGTTTAATTGAACTTATTTATTTTTATTCATCTATAATAAAAACGTGTTGAGCTCAGAGGGAAATGATTCAGAAAACACAGACCAGTGAGATTAAGTGTGAATGACAGTTTGTGCAGCTGCTCAACAACCAAACACTTCTTTCTGTTCCTAAACTGTCAAAATAAACCTCACTTCCTCTTTGTTGTTCAGTAGTCCTCCACCCATCCATTCTCCAAAATAAAAGCATCAATTACATCCTTCATGGCCAGGTTGGGGATCAGCTGATCTTGGGTCAGTGGATTTCGTGTCACCGGGTCAAAGTGTCCGACTCGCTGGAACACAGGAAGAGACGACTTGATATAAAAGTGTATTTGCTGGAACACTTAAAACAATGAAAGGATTTCTATCGTTACTATTAAAATATAAAGAAGTGTTTTCAGGTGTGTTCGTTTTTGCGTCACAGTCGTCGTAAATGTTGTTTTACCTGCAGATGCTCCTCGATGTCTTTCCGGTCATACGTGACGCCGCTGGGAGTGATGCACGGCTCTCTCATCAGCTCAAAGCTGATCTTTCCACACAGGAAGTCTGGGATCTCCCGCTTCTGTCAAACACACGACAAACTCAGTGTCCTGACTCGGCTGACGTTAACTCGCTAAGTTCAGGGACGAGTCACTCACCTTCCTCTTCTCGTCTACTTGACAGTAGAGCTCCTCCAGGTCTGAGAGATATCGGTCCTGTGGAGAAACATTCAAACAGAACGACTGCTACCCGCCCACCTGACATCACACTGACTACAGACCAATCAGAGTCAAGTGGAGGCAGACGAAAACTCTTTAGCCCCTAAATTCAAATGTGGAGCCAGAACCTACGTGTTTCGTGTGGATCTCGTTGAGGCCGTGTTGACTTCGCCCGTCCTCGGTCTTGTCCTCTTGCGTCCGCCGGCAGCCTTCCAGTTCTCTGTGGACGAGACTTTCTTTTTTTACTTTAGAGACGAGAATAATTCACGGAGGAAACGTGAACGTGACCCTGGAAGCGACCTGCCTGTGTTTCTCAGCGAGGATGAGTCTGGTGAGGTAGGCGTGCAGCTCGCTCTCCTGGTGGATCCTCCTCTCCTCCAGGCTGCTCCAGCGTTTCTTCTTAGCTAACCGCAGAGCGCTGGGGATGTCGTCACCGAAGTTCAGGCGCTGCTCTTTTGCCAGATTATAAGCTGGAACAAAGAGCACATGTTGATTTTATGTCGTTTCCTACAGATCTGACAGTCGACAGGTTTCACCTCTCAACAGCAAAATCCTGTTTTCAATGATCGCTGCTGGAGGATGAACAACTCTTTTACAGGTGACTCTCATCTTGTTGCGGTGACGCAGATTTAAATGTGGCACCTTTCTGCAGGTTGCCGATGGCCTCGTCATAGCTCTCCATCTCCAGGTGACACTGGCCCATGAAGAAATGAGCTTTGACCGAGTGCCCGTCCAGCTCCAGAGCGTTCCTGCAGTCGCTCAGAGCTCTGTCGTACTGCTGCAGCTTCACGTAGCACAGAGCTCTGTTGGTGTAGAACGCTGGGACCGAGGGACTCTGGGTCTGACGGAGGGGACAACACAAGACGCACAAACATATGACGGAAAACAGATGTCAGACAAAACCAAGCTCTGTTCATTGTACATTTAAAATGTGTAAAAGCTGCGTGGAGCTCAGGGGATCGTTTGAATAAAGAGATGATGTGTCACTTCAAGAGAAATTCATTTTATCATCAACAAAGAATCTGTGTTTAATGTTCCTCGTTGTTCACATCCTGAGTCTTTGACATGTTAGACCCATGATCCTCTGCTTCCTGAACCTGAAGAGCTGCTGCTGAAACAGATCCTCCAAACTCTGTTCAGATTCTTCATGTGTTAAAGTTTCATCTGAACACTGGAGATAAACTCTGGTTGTTAATAACTGATCTCAGTTCAGCTTCACTCTTCCACTGGAGCTGACGGAGACTCTCAGTCACTTGTTCTCTCAGGAGATGAACCCACTCAGCAGAGCGACAGAGCACAAAGGTGAACAGAGTTATTTACTATAGCGTTGCTGTAGCAGGCGGCAGCCTCCGGGTACTTGCGGCTCAGGAACAGTCGGTTCCCCTGCTCCTTCAGCTCCTGAGCCGACACACACACACTCTTCTCCGGACTCTCTGACATCTTGTCCACTCGGCTCGATGCTCCACCAGCAGCTGCCTCCGCACTCTGTTTCCCCATCGTGACGCTCGGCTGCTGCCAGGGACACAACCTGAGACCTGGAGACATTTGTCCACACACACACACACACACACA